GCACACTCATTTTCTTGGTCTGGCCCAGGCCTCTTTCATTTAATTGGCCCAGGCCGAATTCTCTTGTTAATTGGGCCCAGGCTTCTTTAGGGTAAGGGATTGGCCCAGGCCCACATGTCTTCTTCCTTAGGGCCCGGGCCTTTTCAGGGTAAGGATTGGCCTGGGCCCACTCATTTTCTTGATCTGGCCCAGGCCTCTTTCATTTGATTGGCCCAGGTCTAATTCTTTGGATAATTGGGCTAAGTCTTCTTTAGGGTCAGGGGTTAGCCCAGGCCCACATCTCTTCTTGCTTTGGGCCTGGGCTTTTTCAGGGTCAGGATTGGCCTGGGCACGCTCATTTTTTTGGTCTGGCCCTGGCTTCTTTCATTTGATTGGCCCAGGCCTATGATTCCTCTCTAACAGGCCTGGGCTTCGTTAAGGCCAGGGAATTCCTTGAGTCACCATGTCTTCTGATTTGGGGTCCAGCCTTTTTCAGGGTCAGGGTACCTGTTTAATATTTGGGTGGAGGTAGTCGATCCTTTCCAGCCCATGCTTGTACAAATCTTTGACTAAGTCTTGGTCTATTTTCAGCAGTACTGAAAAAAGAAAAAGAAAAGTCAGGTGGACTTTGATAGTGGAAAATACTAGCATCTTAAATGTTCTCAGAACATCACTGACCTGTCCTCAGGGAAACATGCAGAGACACAGACACAAATAGCCCACAGTTTACATAAAATAACTATACATTATACAAAGATGAAATATGTAGGAGAGAAAGCTGGTTGGGTAATTCCTTCCTGTTGCACAGCTGACTGTCTATGGTGGAGGGGATATCCATGAGCTCATATGGAAAGACTGTTGCCTCTAGGTTGTGAGATACACATAGGAGAGTCCCACCAAGACACCATGGTATATTTCCTTTCTGTGGTCTGAACCCTTGTTGGATTATCACAGTTAAATGAAACAGCAGAGGTTAGTCCTCCCATCATCTAGAGGATGCCTTGCTAAGGCATAGAAGTCTCTACAGATCATCATAAGATCTCTTTGCTGTGTGGGGATGGCATCCTCTCTCTGAATGTCCTACATGGCTATGTTCAGTGAGGGTATTTCTCTGACACTTGTTTTTGTAACACTTCTCAAGGTCATATCTGTCTTGTCCATCAAAAACACCTCAGACCCCGAATCTGCCTTTGTCACCCCTTTCCAGAGAGCCCCCTGCCAAGTACACTGGTTTGAGATCACTTCTTCACCTACAGAATTTTCTGCAGTCACTTACCTGAAATAGATCACTGCCCACATTCTCCTGAGCTAAATCCTGGTCCACTGTAATGGGCTCTGCTGCCCTCAGATCTGGGTCCCACCTGTAACCATGACAGTGACCCTCCTGAGAGGTCATAGAGGCCAGGCCTCACTCTGTCTGTGACTCAAAGGCTGTCCATGCGCACAGATGTCTTTTGGGCTGGTACTTAGAGGAAGTCCCTGAAGGCTTCTCTTAAGATCATTTCTTGGGAACAAGCTCACATCCAGTCTTCCTTCTCCAGGGAATTTCACCCCTGGGCCCAGCATGTTCAGTGGGGAAGGGTCATACACAGCCCTAATGTACAAAGTTCACCTATTGGTGTCTCATTTCTGCTGCTCAGTTTATCAACAAGTTTCTCTTGTCAAGAGATTTTAAGTGTGCCATCTGCAGTATTTTGGGTATCAAGCTGATGGATAATGTTGGTGTGCAACCTCTCCCATCACCACCATTAAACATAGCTTGCAGGAGGATTGCCCAGAAAGCAGGATATCATGAAATTCCCTTACCTGGCCCTGCCATGATACAGTCAATGACTTCTGAGGATATCACTCTGGAGATCGGTATAACAGCAGAGCTTCATCCTGTCGTTGTTTGGAAACTGGAGTTCCAAGGCACGTGCTGGCTCTGCCTCAGCAGCTGTCACCTTTTCTCACAAATACAGGTGGATTGTAGTTGAAGTAAATTGACAAAATCACCTCACACATGCACACAGATTCACCCACAATTATATGAACACAGGTCTCATAAGTAAAGGCTTAAGTTTGAAAATAAAATGCATCGAGTATGGCATCAGTGTCTGTGGCCATTCTGGGAAGGGCCTATGAGCCGAATGTAAAGATGATTTCCAGGAAGGTTCATGTCTAGAGAAGCCCATGAGAAGCACCCCTACCTGTGAAGCATGTGCTCACTGTGGGGATGTCACAAACAGGTGGGTGGTGCCAGTAATTATCTTTAACATTCTGTAGGCTCAAGCCTTATGTCATAGACTATGCACTGAGTTGACACTTTCTTCAGAGGCCTCTCCTCATTAAATTTTACATACCATTTATAGTTAAATGTTTCCTCCATCTTCCCACAGGTACCATCACCATTGAGAGGAGGAACACAGTTGACAATGCTGCTTCCTCAGCTCAATTGTCTGAACTCACACTCTGTCTCATCATCTCAGATTCTTCATAGTCACCATGGTTTACTGCTGGTGCTCAAGCGGGGGGTCACCATCTTCTGTGCCTTCTACTTGTCTCCAACAGTAGACATATCTTATTTTCTACTTAACTCTGCATCATTAATCTTGAGTTTGTTTGTGAGTTATTAGCTTGCTCTTGTCTGGCATTCCTGTGGACCTGGGTTTTAGAATGAACAGCACAAAAATACATAGATGAGTAATGAATAAATACATACAGCATGGATGGTTCACAATAGAGTTGCAGGCAGAGCCCACCTTGTGATGTACAGAGACCCATTGAAGCACAAGATTTTCCTTGTCCCAAATCAGCTGACCTTTCACTCAAAATGCTGTGTGCAGAAATGATCAAGCTGTCCAGAAATGTGCCAAGCCCTTTGTGCCCTGGTGTGGGCTTACACAAGCTTCTCAGTTTCAGGAGGTCCCATTTATTAATTGTCGATCTTAGTGTCTGTGCTCCTTGAGTTATGTTCAAGAAGCAGTCTCCTGTACCAATTCCTTCAAGGACTGTACGACACTGCATGGAAGAGCAATGCTAGCACAACCACAGCTTCCCCTGCAGTGTGGCCCCAACTTCTGCTGATAGGATGGGGTCTCCCTGCATGCTGGCTTCTGGCCCTTGGTGCTGACCTATGGTCTCTAAGGCAGGAGGACTCATAGGATGCCTTTGACCAAGCAACAGGTGGCAGGTCATTCCCCCAAGGTGAGTGCCTTAAACAGCTGCTGTCTCAGGATCCAGTCTGATCAGAAAGAGTAAAGAAAGCAAGGGTTGGAGAATCAGGGGTTTTCTCATTTCTCAAGCCTTCTGTAGGTGTGAGAATGCCTCAAATGCTTAGATATTTCCCTCTCCTTTGCTTCTTCTAGTGGGAACCCACTCACCTCCAGGAAAATGACTGTCACCTTTTCTGTTTCCAGGTTCACACCTCTTGCATTCTGTCCCCTTTGGGTATCTTATTTTAAGCCACCACCCTCCTGTGACAGCACTGTGCTCTCTCCCTGTCCCCTGGGAGCCAGTCATCAACCAACCCCACCCACCTCACAGTCATCAGCTCTTCCATTCATTTCTAAGTAGTTAGTGGAAGGATCACTGGGTGGGCAACAGGTATTTTCTGCCCCTGGTTGGACCTCAGAGCTAGCAAAAGTGGGATAGCTTCCCCATGCCCCTCCTAGGATGCACTCTCTGGCATAGTGCAGGACTAGAAGAGACTGGAGGAAAGAGCAGGTGCAGGTCACACCCAGAAACACTGTGAAAAGGTCATACACGTTGGCCTTGAGTAGATTACCTTATTCTCATCTGACAAAAGTAATTATACCATTATTTCCCTTATCCTTTACCAGAGCATCTTAAAAACATGGTCAGAAAACCATGACATTCTGCTATGAGGAAAAACCATTGTGCAAGTGTCATGGGGTCATGTCCAGGAACAGTCTTTACTGCTTATAACTTCATTCTGGTTTCTTTGACTGATTTTTTAATGTATCACTTTATCCAAAATACCAAAAGCAAATGCTTTATGTGAACAGATCAACCCGAGTGGTACCCTGACATCCATGTCCATCTTTAAAATGAAAGCCATTTCCCTCCCATCCAGCACTGTGAATAGAAAAAGGAAAGTAATGGGAAAGGAATAAGATTAAAACTCTAGGGGATGGGAGATGGGACAGCCTATCCAGCCAGTTGGTGAGTACCTGATTCAGTGAGACTTTGTTTTAATTGATACTATAGAGAGACTGGGGAGTTTGTATTCTCAGAACCCACATAAGAAATGATCTGACTTTGGCAAAACAATGAGCACCTAGAGAATCCCAGGTCTCCTCTCCCTCTGCATGTTGCCCTGCTGGGCTCAGGATTGCAAGGGGTGGGCCAGGGCTCCTCTCTGGAGAGCCTTTGTGGTGCCCCATTTCCTTGCATGCTTGAGTTCAGATAATTGTTTTATTCATTTGTTTCTATATTCAGTGTATGAGAGATTTGCCTACATGTTTGCAAGTGCCCTTTGCACATGTCTAGTGCTTGTAGAAGCCGGTGAAGCTGCGGGATCCTCTGAAACAAGAGTTATCAACAGAGGAAACCCCATCCCTCGGGTCCCAAGTTCAGATAATTTAAGAAAGTCTAAGCAGGAAAGTGAGACATGAGTGACTCAGGACCCCAACTGATTTTGGACAGCACGGTGCTCCAGTGCAGTAACACATAACAGTAGCATTTGCAGGGAAAACCAATCTTGACTTCCAGAAACCTTCTATAATACAACTTTAAAATTTGAGGTTCTAGTGGTATTACATTGAGTGAGGTGGGGCCTTTGAACAAATAGAAGGCATTTCTCCGTTTAGCTATTGAAGTGTTTATCTAACTAATCTTTATCAATAAAAACTCAGGAGTTGGATATCTGGGTAAGAACCTCAGTGATAAAAGAAGTGGCTGTGGAGTGACCAGTGACCTCTCTACTTCTTTCCTTGATCCAAAAGAGCCTAGACTCTCCTAAGTAAGCCCCTCCCTACTACTTCCTATGTCTGTCTGTATGTCCTTTGTCCTCCAAAACCTCTATGGCTAATTTTGGTCAGCTTGTAGTTAGCTCTACCCTCTGATTCTAAGCAAACTTTATTGCCAGTCTCAAGGAGTGTCATCAGAGTGAGATCAGAATAACCCACAACAAGCCTCGGAACATCTTCTAGTCTCTTATTTTGTGAATCAATAAAGATCAACTCTACAATAGAAATGATATATATAGGTGCCTGTTCCTACCCGAGGCCAACATTCAAAACTACCTCTTCAGGTATTTTATAAATACTCCATACACTAGAAGGAATAGCTGCTGAAGGTTTTGGAGCTTCCACTGGGTCTCCACAGAGAAGGTAAGTTCAGCAGCCTTAACACCTACAGGCTAATCCTTATGTGTCCGAGCCACAGACAGAAGCCCATGCAGCATTAGCCACAGCTGTCTGTACATTAGGGAAAAGGCACCCTGAAGGAAGCACAATAGAGCTGTCTTGAGTGCGGGCCTTCACTGCTCTCGGGACACACAGGAAATGACATCTGTTTGGAGCAGATAAATGGATGCCTTTCCTATAGCATGCTCGTGTTCATAGCTGTTTTTTTCCCATTGAATTACAGGCATTTTCTGGTTGGTTCCTGAAAGCCCTATGTTTTATAGGTGTAAATATCATCTGCCCCAGGTCCTGCCCATCCAGTCCTCTACAGCTCCCTTTCTTCCTCTCAGTCAGAGCCTGTGGCTGTTTGCAACTCTTTCTTGGTCAGTGTTCACTGCAGAATTCTGGTGCTGGCCTTCAAAGCAAAGATATATTCTGCTGCAAAGGAGCTGTCTACAGTGTGGAACCCAAACCAGGCCCCAGCAGTCACAGGGAAAAAACAGCACAAATCTCTTCTATGAGAGCCTGGAGCTCAAAACTGTAGCTCTATGCCATGGAAACAGTCCTTGCCCCCCAACCACGCAGTTGTAGGTGTTCTTTGACAATGTGTCCTTACAAGTTTAACATATGATTTCTAGACAAATCCCATGAGAACTGATGATTTATCCCCCTCCTAGATACACACATGCCTGTGAAATAATAAAGAAACATAGGATCTGGGAGATGTTGTAGTGGTTAAGAATGCTTGCTGCTCTTCCAGAGGACCTGAAGACAGTCCCAGGAACTCCGGTACCTGCTTCTAGCCTCCTGTAACTGCACATGTTACTCACACATATATGCATCACATACACATCACAATACACACACACACATCTCTCTCTCTCTCTCTCTCTCTCTCTCTCTCTCTCTCTCTCAGACACACACGGAGGTAGGAAGAGAGGGGGAGGGAGAGAGAATTTCAAAAACACTTAAATATAGTGAAGGAATTAAACAATTGGAAACTACTTTGTAACTGTTGTCCATGTTTTGCAAACACTGCCCCCTGCTGGTTAGCTCTTGAGTTTTCTGTGTTGCTTCCCCAGTCTGGAAATGTTAAGCAATGTTTTGGGAGTTTTGTTTGATTTTGGTGTGTGTGTGTGTGTGTGTGTGTGTGTGTGTGTGTGTGTGTGTGTGTGGTGTGTCAGTGCGCCCATGTGCACTTATGTGCTTCTGAGTGACCACAGGGAGGGCAGAAGGCTGCTTGAAGGCAGCTTCTACCACTCTTCAACCCTTTGCCCTTGAGACAGGGTCTCTCACTGAATTGCTCTCTGTGAGATTGGCTTCCGGGAGTTCCAGGATCTGTCAGTCTTTGCCTCCTGGTGCTGGGACACAAGTGGTCTCACCAGATTTTTATTTGGGTGTTGAAGATTCGAACTCAGGTCTCCATGCTTGCACAGCAAATGTTCTTACCCATTGAGAGCTAATACCCATCTCCCCAGCTCAACATTTTATTTATGACATGTTATTCTAGAGAGCCCCCTTTTCTCATCCCTTGTTTAATAACATGTTACTGTGCCTACACAAGAATCCAAACACAAACATCTATGTCAGTTTTGTTCACAATGTGCAAATGCAGAGGCAGCACAGATACCTTTCAGTAAGTGGATGGATGACTGGATAAAGTGACACATCCAGACAATGGAAACTAAAAAGAGATGAGTTGTCCAGACACACAGAGCCCCAGAGGAAACCTATACATATCCTCCTGACTTAGTCGTCTGTGTGTGGGATTGTGTGTTACGGTCTTGGCTCTGCAAACCATTTTTTGACATTGTCTATAGAGTGATAGGGTGAGATAAAACCCACAGCAATTGTCCCATTGGAATACACCATGAACCTGGGGACACTATCTCTCTGTGTGTGATCCAGGTACCCCCATTACTCTCTGAAGAAGAAGGGATCAGTCAGAAACCCTGAAGTCTACAGGCTGTAATAAAAATGTTCTTCCAGTTCTCAGGTACCCCAAGCACACACACCAGTGGCTCAAGTTCCCATGGCACATCTCTATAATATGGATCTGTACCTGTGTTTAGACTCCATGCATGGAATCTCACTGGCCGTCCATTCATCTTCATGTGGACACTGCTGGAAAACACTTTCCAGATGCCTTGTGCCCTATGATCCACACTAAATTGTTCCTCCCCCATATCCTAAAATTTCTAAAAATTGGTGCGAATCTGATTTGGGTACTAGAAGAGATTGGCAGCTGCACTTCCAATATAGAAATTTTTTTCTCTGTGATTTTATGACTGGGTGAGGGTTCTGGCTACTACGACCCTTGGTTTAGATTTCCTTGGGAGATTCCAACTAAAGGTAAATATACAAACCGTGGTCAGAGGTGGGCTGATCATCTTGAGGTCTGAGCATACAAATACATGCCATACACTTGGAGACAACAGGGAAGAAAGAGATGTGGTATCTATCTACATCACAGCCTGTTCTCAAGTTCAATTCAAAGATTGAAAACCATCAGTCAAAAATAGAGGGAAACAGTCAAAATACGGATTTATGGATAAGCCATGGAGGAAGATTGTGGTAGTTTAAATGCTATTAGTCCCCAAATTTCATAGCGAGTGTTATTAGGAGGAGTGGCTTTGCTGGAGTGGGTATGGCCTTGTTGGAAGAAGTGTGTCACTGTGGAGGTGGACTTTAAGGTTTCCTATGCTCAGGATCCCACCCAGTTGTCAGTGGACTTCCTGTTGCCTGAAAGCTATAGGACTCTCAGCAACTCCCCCAGCACCATGTCTGCCTGCATGCTGCCATGTTCCCTGCCATGATGGTAATGGACTGAACCTCTGAACCTGAAAGCAAGTCACCCCAATTAAATGTTTTCATTTATAAGAGTTGCCATGGTCATGGTGTCTCTTCACAGCAATTGAAACGCTAGGACACAAATAAACCTTATATTTATTGAAGACTATATACATAATGGTAGGGCAGGAGATACTTGACAAAGAATATTGTAAGATGACACTGTGTTAGGTACATAAGATAAAGGCAGAGATCTATAGAAATCAGGGTATAAGTCTTGCTTCTTCTAGGTAGGCTCTGGTGACACTAAGGAAACATAAGAAACTATGTCTAGTTTCCACCAGAGTGTGGATTTCAGTGTTTTCTACTAGACATCCACATTAAAATTGTGTCTGTACTCCAGGGTCATCACATTGTTAAGTTACTTGATGTTTTTAATCATATCAAATTGAAGGTCAAGGTCAATGGAGTGGCCAAGTTGAGGGTCAAGGTCAACAGAGTGGCTAGGTCTTGAAGCCTGTGTTGGTCCTTGTGGTGGTTCCAGTTTCCTCTGAGGTGTTGGTGTTGCTAACACACATGAGATCTTCTTGTCCTGGATCTCTTGAAGACCAGGTAGCAGTTGGGCAAACAATGACTCCAGGGTGCGGCCCACACACCCATCATGCCAGTGTCTGCCCAGATTGTTTCTCTCGTGTGGCCCAGATGTCCAGATGGCCATGGCTTGTGCTCCTGATCCTCCAACGTAAGAAATCTCCTGGGTGTGATGAAGAGAGAATGAGGCCTACAACTGTCAAAGTTAAACTTGACTCAGGCTTCTTGGTGTTAAGTTAGCCCCCAGCCCACACTGATTTTGATTGTCCTTCAGTCATCAGCTGCAGAAGCCTTGTTTAGGAATCCAAGGTTTTTGATGGATGGAATGGTGGGGGCGGGTTTCAGGTGAATCACAATAAGACCCTGTGCTATCTAAGTCTTCTTGATATTAAGGAGAGTGGTTCCTTGTTCCATTAAAGGTCATTGCATAGTCCTTGCTCCCTTGCTGTGAGTGTATCACTGGGTCCTATGGAGAGAGGGTACGGCCCACATACCCTAACATTTAAGCTAGACCCAGGTAGTAGAAGGTACTCAGAGTATGCCATTCTTCAGACAACCCACTCATGGTGTTAATGTGTGTTCAACCTTCTTGGAGCAGTAGGTGTGGCCTAGGTCAGACTTCAAGTCAGCTTTTTATCCTTGCTCTCTGAAAGTCCTCATACAGGAAGACCTGGGCACAGAGGATTTGCAGGGTGCGGCCCACACACCCTTGATCCCGAGCTGTGTTATTGTTATTTGATGTTTATGTGAGGCTCAGATTACTAGAGAGCAATGAGGTCTTAATCCACCTGCTGTGAGATTGTTTGTTGGATGTGTTGGAAGAATAGCAGGTACATCCCACAAACTACAGTGGTACCACAAAGAAGAATCTAGATTAGCATTGATGACAGTTCATGGTCTATGATGTGATGTCAATCATCAGTACAAGAATGGTTGTGGTTGAGTCCAAATTTCTAAGTGAAAATAGCATGGATTGGGTCACAAATGAGGCTATGATTTGTCCAACAAAATAAATTGACGTGAGAAAATGCCTGGCCTCAGACCAGGTTTTCGTCATGGGTATGTCCATTTCCTTTGGTCATTAAGGTGAGGTTTGATCTGGGTCACAAATGAGGCTATGCTTTGTCCAAAAATATTTGAAGTGAGATAATGCCTGACCTCAGACCAGGTCGGCGTCATAGGTATGTCCATTTCCTTTGGTCATTAAGGTGATACATTGTCCCTTTAAAGACTCCCTCCTTTGTGGTGGGATCTTGTCCTGGGTTGACTAGAGGGTGTGGTCCACACACCATTTAATATTAGTCCAGTCTACTTAGGGTTCAAGGAGGTGCTGGGTTTCCTTTCAGGTCTGCTTATGGCCTTGAACCTGTGTCAATAATCATGTCATTATCAAGTTCCCCTTCTTGGAGGGGATAATGCATCCAGATTTCAGTTAATCAGATCAAGTTCTGGGTTTGCCCAAGATTCTTGGTGAGCAGTCTATGGCTAGAGTATGAGAAATTTTCTTTTAAAAAAGTCAGTCAAGATAAGGTGCAGGGTGCATTGTAACACCCTTTTTGATAAGGTGTGTCCATGTCACTGGATTATTTAGGTGAGTCCTTGGCACTTTATGGCAATGTTGTCATCCTTTTTAGCGTGTTGAAGATGTTGGATTGAATGAAGTGTGTGTGTGAGAGCCACACATCTGGTACTCAGAATGTCACTTATATCAATCATTATAGGAAGCATAGAGGGTTAGTCCAAGGCTATCCATGACAAGCTGGCATTTGTGGGCACTGATGTCTTGGTTAGGTGTAAAATAAGAACTGAAATTAAGGCCTTGATCAGAGAACCTCATGGTACAAACTGCAACCACGGTGTTGTTTAACTTTAGATTGGCAGTTGGTTCAGGCCTCTTTGGGAGGGGATTAATCTGTGCTGATATTACATTAGTTTTTGTGCCAAAATTTCCTCATTGTTAGGATCAGGATTGGCCTAGGCACACTCATTTTCTTGGTCTGGCCCAGGCCTCTTTTTTTGATTGGCCCAGGACCAATTCTCTGGATAATTGTGCTCAGGCTCCTTTAGGGTCAGGGGTTAGCCCAGGCCCACATCTCTTCTTGCTTTGGGCCC